GACTTACCATTGTAAATGTTACTATAAGCTCGAGACATAGTTGCTTCACTATCGCAGTATAAAGAAATAACTGACATAGGTTGTGGCCATAACTTAATATCAAACAACATATTTCTTATCCATTTTGCTTCTTTACCTGTAGCAGTTATAGCAATAAATTCTAATTTCATGGTAGAATGAGAGATGTATTTTTGTTTCTTAGATGCTCAAGATATTGCACCTCCTCAAAGTGAGAAAATCCATCATGATGTGGACTTATTATCACTTGAACTTGTCATCTAACTTGCATCACTATATCCTTCAATCACAACTAGAAAATCAAAATAAAACAAGCCTAAATTGATCGTTGTTTTTAGATAACCAAAGACTCTTACAATAGCCTTTCAATGATCTGTATTCGGCTTGCTTGTATATCTTGATAACTTGCATATAGTAAAAGCTATATCTGGTCTTATACAATGTATAACATACATAAGACTTCTAATGGCATTAGCATATTCTAGTTGTGCTACCGCTTTATCGTAATAATCATTTAACTTTATGCTAGAGTCAAATGGGGTATTAACCTCCTTTATATTGAGATGCTTAAACTCTTTGACTTCTTCTAAGCTCACCAGAACCTATTACTTTTAAGTTTTTACATTTTTCACTTAACGTTGAGTTAAGAGTCATTACTTTTAGACTTGGTTCTTGCACATTTGAATCACTTATGAATTTATATTCGATAAATTCAACATGTATAGATTCAACAATCATATTAGTTTCTAAATCCAAAAGTCTATAAGCCTTTGAATTTTGTGCATAACCAACAAAAACACTTTTAAGACCTTTGGGTCCTAATTTTATTCTTTAAGGATCAGAACTTTTATAAAAAGCTAAACACCCTCACACTTTAAAATAATTCAGATTTGGTTTTCTACCATTCCATGCTTCATAAGGAGAAACATTTAATTTTTTAGATAATACTCTGTTATGAATATGATATGCAGTAAGTAAGGCTTTACCCCATAAATTATTTGGTAATTTAGCATTCAAAAGCATGGCATTGACCATATCTACTAAGGTCCTATTTTTCCTTTCAGCAAGTCCATTATGTTGTGGTGTATAGGGTGCTGTCATTTGATGGATTATTCCGTTTTCCTCACAAAAAGTAGAAAACTCTTCAGAAAAGTATTATCCACCTCTATCACTTCTAAGAACTTTAATTTGCCTTTCCTTTTGATTTTCTACCATTTTCTTGAATTCCTTG